CCACGACCCCCACCCCGCCACGTGTCCCCCCCGGGTGGAACAATGACAGGCCACGTGTAGGGGGGTGACATGGTTTATTGCTGTCTACAGGACAGGAGGGACAGTGATGGGTGACATGGGTCATTCCCAGCCACCGCAGGTGACACAGTCACAGGCCACGCGTGGGTGACATGACTTGGTCACCAGTGGTGGCCTCAGCCACTGCCCTGCAGGTGACACTGGCACTGGGGAGGGGACAGACCCCGTGGGGACAGCGGGGAGGGGGACAGTGGGGATGGCCCCAGGGGACGGTGACAGTGGTGACAAGGGACAGCAGGGCCACCCCCCTGTGTCCTACTGTGAGCATGGGGGGAGGGACGACACGACACACAGGCTTGTGTCCCTTGTCCCCACTGCTGGGTCAGTGTTACCAGTGTCCCCAGTGTCCTCAGGGTTCAGTGCAGGACAAGGGGTGACAACGGCAGGTCAGGGTGTCCCTGTGGGGTGTGTCACAGCAGGATGGGGACACTGGGGGACAGGGACGATGGAGGAGCACGGGGGGGATGTCCCCAGGGTGTCACAGCAGGAAGGGGATGATGGGGGAGCGCAGGGGGGGGTAGTCACGGAACTCGCGCAGGTAACTCCGGTGCTTCCCCTGCGCCCAAATCGCCATCTGCACGAAGCCCACCAGGGAGAACAGGGCCACTGCGGGGCCACCGTCAGCTCAGGGGACACAGGGACCCCGGAGGAGTGGGCAGCCAGGGGTGGGACACTGACCCAAGGGTGGTACAAGGGGATCCCAGGGTGGGACAGGAGAGGCAAGGGATGTGGGGACCCCAGGAAGGGATGGGGGGGGAAATGTGGGGACCCCAGGACCGGACAAGGGACACACGGCAACCCCAGAGTGGGACAGGAGCTGTGGGCGTGGATATGGAGACCCCAGGAGGGGACAGGGGACATGAAGGCCCCAAGGGGATCAGGGGACAGAATGGGAGGGGACATACAGGGACCTTGGCAGAGGGACAGGGGGGGACCCTGGAGGAACATGGGCAGCTGAGGGTGGGACACTGACCCCAGGGTGGGACATGGGGAGGGGAGATAAGGACACTCCAAGATGGGCCCCCCTCTGCATGGGTGCAACCCCTGCAAAGGGGTCCCCCTGCATCACAAAACCCCCCAAGGAGCACCTCCCCTCCTCCCTGGTGTCCCCCCTGCGGCCCCCCCGCTCACCGGGCAGACACTGGGTCATGATGGTGAAGCCGATCCAGGACCCGACCTGGTGGGTGGAAACACCTGTTGGTGGGGGGACAGACCCCCCAGTGTGGCTGTGCCCCCTCAGCAGTGTGACCCCCCCAGCACTGTGACCCCTCCAGCCGTGCTCTCCCCAAGTATTGTGACCCC